CCTACACAGCGTTACCCTGACATTTACACTGTGTTACCCTGACCTACCTACACTGCGTTACCCTGACACTCTAGATAAAAACTGTGCAAATTGAAGTATTGTATCAATGAACGTCCCAAGTTACTGCAGGAACAGTCGCCCATGAAGTACTTCTGTGAGGGTGTCATTGGTGGCTGTGGCAACATATAGTGGATTGTATTTCTGCTGACAATGCTTGTGTTAGTGTTTCTTGTACAACACTTTTCTTTGCTTAACTTATACAACTTCACTGTTTTCCAAAATGTTTTTTAACAAGGTCCTCAACCATTCCATGCTCAGATCATATCACAATTTAGTTTGTCTTACGATATTTAGAGTGATTGTTTATGTATTTGTCATTGTCCATGAGCAGGTAGGTAAATTTGTGTATAGCAACACATGCTCCCGGTCAAGTACGTGTACGTGCATGCCAGCGCACGTCCTTGGGTACATATCCAAGCACATTATCCCCAGCCTGGCCTTAAACACAACAGTAATCACCGTAAAACTAACGACAAAGGAGTTTGCTCTGGTCGAGTCAATGTTTGGCAATCAGCCGCAAGATTGGGGCTGCCATCAAGCGTGGTGGTGAAGGCAAGTGTTAATCGTTGCTTTGCCACTGCCAGCACGCACCATCACCTGACTGGTGGCTTCAACACCTAATCTCTTCCTACAGTCTTCCGCCTGAGTTCCTTTGTCTTTAGATGACGTACTGTACTGCAGTTCACTTCTTGATGCTGTCCCAAACTGTATCTATGTTCTCACAGGTATTCAAGTGGTCTCATATATTAAAGCAATTGTAGCTATTTCAGTTATCAAGGCCATGATTGAGCTGCCACAGGTATTAAGCTCTCCCAATTATTTAATGTTTACCATTTATCTAAGCTTCCCAGCTATTAAAGCTTTCCTGGTAGTTGAGCTACATAACTGTCAAAGCTATCGTAAGTTGTATTTAAGCTCAATTTTTACCGCTTATTGAAGCTGGTTCAGCTATCTATAATATTTACGTAAATTGAAGCTTGTCTAGATTATCTAAAATATTACAGCTATATTTTGCTGTCAATGCTTTATCTTAAATATATTCAAGCTCTCTCTCAGCTATATATCGGCTATCACGGTTGTAGTTAAGCTATCTTAACATCATTTGAGCTATTACAGCTGCATTTAAGCTACCACAAGTATGTCTAAGCTACTACAGCTATGTATAAGGTATCTCAGCTACTGTATGTATAAGCTCTCCAACTCTTTCCTTTATAAATATTAGCTTTCCGCGCTAAAGCTTTATATCTCAGCTAAACGGTCGAATGTATACAGTATACCGAAGCTCTGTCAGCTATAAATGTCAGTTCTTTCTTTTAATATCTAATATTTTCCAGGAAAAAAAATTAAGTTCTACCTGTGATTCTAAACGTCTCCATAGGCACATTTAAGCTCTTTCATCTATGTGTCTAAGCTTTTCCAGAAGTTATGGGCTCCCAGCTGTGAATTTAAACTTACTCAGCTATATCTGTATTAACTTAACTGGATGTCAGACCCTCCAACTTAGCTACGAGTCTCTGTTTAATCTGTTCGAAATGTATACACCCTTAGCTCCTACATGTTAAGCCCTTCCAGCTATATATTTAAGCTATGTTAGGTATATCGAGTTAACTGAGTTGGTTTCCTGGGTCTGGTCAATCAGACAGCTTAAAGGCTTGGTGAGAGCAGTTAGCTTAAGGGGGCAAGTGAAGGAGGTCTGTTGTCCTGTGAAACTTGGGCGTGGGTATGGTTGTGGGCGTAGTTATGGGTGTGTTTGTGGGCACGATGGTGGTTATGGGCGTGATGGTGGTTATGAGTGTGGTTGTGAGAGTGATGGTGGTTATGAGTGTTGTTGTGAGAGTGGTGGTGGTTGTGGGTGTGGTTGTGGGCGTGATGGTGGTTATGGGCGTGATGGTGGTTATGAGTGTTGTGAGAGTGGTGGTGGTTGTGAGTGTGGTTGTGGGCGTGATGGTGGTTATGGGCGTGACTATGAGTATGGGCTGTTGAACTCTTGAACCCAAATGACGATGAGTAGAGTGATGCACTGAACTCATACGTCGGGTGAGTGACTGTTGTTGTCTGAATTAAGTTGTTTAGTACAAGCTCTCACCACTTGAGAATTGATGTGCTCTTGAACTGAGTGTTGATAACATTTTGTTCATTATCTGTTCAATTGGACACGATTTTTACATTGTGTTTGTATAAAAATTCTGCTACAATTTCATAGCTTCTATTCCACTGTCATTACAGTATATACATAGACTTATATTATGAAAGTTCGTGTATTTGGAGGGCTTTACTTTTTAATTTATTCTACACTATTTAATATGCAGTCTAAAGTTGTGCTGTAATTAAGATAATATTCACTCAATCAGAGTACCGTCCTCATATCTGAGGGTTGGCGACCACAGTCCTTCACTCTAAACGTTCTCGGGCTGTTTTCACCAATACTCTCATGTTTTGTTTCTCTCTGGGGACACAGTTTTATTGTCATTCATCCATCCTAGTCTCTGCCTCCCCCTGGCCCTCCTACCTTCAACTTTGCCACTAATATATCTGTTATTTCTTTCCTCATCCCTAATTATAGGACCAAAGTATCTATTTTTTTTCTGTACATTGCAAGTATTTCTCTTGTTGTTTTTTTTGCTAATCTTAGTACTTCTTCATTTGTTTTCCTGTTTTCCTTATGCTTAGCCAATAACACCACATTTCAAAGGCCTCCATTCATAGTCAAATTTGGTCACTTAAGGTTACTTTGGACCAACAAGTGAAATTTCTTGTTCTGAACCAGCAAGGTTCAGACCTTATCACGAGCCATCAATACAGGTACATATTTACCTATAAGACACAGATGGAGCAATTCTCACACGGTGACATTATTAACACTCGATATCTTAACCTACAGTGGGTGTGCAGGGTGACGTACTGTATCTATAACTAACCTCAACCAGCTGTTTACACGAGTAAATAGTTTAGGTTATTCTTAAAGAAATAAAAACATTAATGGATGCAACTTAAAAAAAGACAAGAGACATTGAACAGAACCCCGATAACTTGTACTCCTGAAAGAGACGATGAATGATGAATTTCTCCTCCTCTCCTGTAAGATTCTTCCAATAAAATCCATTTGTCAGCTGCTGACCCACTCACTATGGAAGATCTATAAAATTTCCGAATTACCTTTGACTTTCCATTATCCCTTAGGTTTTAAAGCTGTGGTTCTTTCAATTCTTCAGTCGTGAACCTAATTCAAATCCTTTTTGGCTGTCAGCGAGCATCCTGGGGCGGCGTGTAGGGCGGCGAGGCTCTCATTATTCTGGTTTTGTGGGTCCGCCCTCCTCCCACCCTCCTGAATTACGAATGATTCTATTCAACGTGAGTTTTGGCTCAAGACGAAGGTAAAATGAGCAAAACTTTGTTCCTCAATAATATTAACATGAAATATTTCAGTTCATTTTAAGACGAGCTTGTGATGGTGTTAAACATCAGTGAAGACATGTTCTTCTGTTCTTCGTCGTGATAAGAATATAGGAAGTTCTGTGTTATATATTATATATATGACTATTAGTATCATACAAAAGAGGGTAAAGATCGCAACATTTATTACATGTGTGAGACAGAGAGCATGTTAGTGCCAGGTTGTATACATTAGGGCAAGACAAACCAGAGGAGGAGCGGCACAATATCTCGCGTAAACAGAGAGAGTGAGTTGTGAACCGATATTAGGAACACTACTGCATGAATGAAGATATCATGCAAAATATATAAGCTTCATTCGTCACAATAGGTTAGCTGTCACTCTGTCTGTCACCCTGTCTCTCTGGTGTTGAATTTTTGTCTGTTGCACATAAACCAATAATTGTATGAGTATATATTTGTTTTCAAATTGTGTCTCATTGTAAACGCTTTTCTTCAGTATAAGATAAACAATTAAATATAATTTTGTGTGATAAATTCCTCCACAGACATTAGACCCAGCATATAAAAAATAATGTTAAAAAGAAAAATTAAGTAACTGAGTGAATACAGCTCTGGAATTCTGTCCAAGTGGTCGCATCCTGGGAGCCATCAACTACTTGCTGGGGCGATCCTGTTCTGGACTCTAGTCGATCACTTTACCCCAGCCCGTCTGTCAGGATCTAGAGACGAATCCAGTTTGCCTCATAAGGGCTAAGACGGACGCCTGCTTTATTCACTTTATATGGATCACAGCCCGTGTTGGCCACCACAGACACGACTATGTAGAAACCCTCGCAACATCTCCCTCCACCCTCACTGTCCCTGATGACGCTTCAATCATAACAAATGGTACTCTAACAACCGGCACTCTTAACACACACAGTACCCCAACACAACACATGGTATTCTAACACACACAGTACCCCAACAAAGGTGGTACTCTAACACACACAGTACCCCAACAAAGGTGGTACTCTAACACACACAGTACCCCAACACAGGTGGTACTCTAACACACACAGTACCCCAACACAACACATCGTACTCAAACACACACAGTACCCCAACACAGATGGTACTCTAACACGTGTTCACTGCCTCCCAAACTCTTTCCATCCTCCTGACCCCCTGACTGACCCCCTCTAATCGTATAAGGAGCGTTGACCCCAGTGTTAACGTTAACTCTGACCGGCTGTGATTAAGAGAGTTAAATCAAATATTTAACGAGTTGTATTTTTCCTTCCCGTAGAACCATTTTGTTGTTATCATTTGCATTATATATAACACACATAAGCAAACAATTTCCTATACTCTTTCATGGGATATTTACGAGAATAATTAGATTCTGGTCTGAGTGTTAGCTTACCCCAACGAAGTATTGATAATTATGCTCCTAACATACCGTAACATACATACATACATACATACATTCATACATACATACATACATACATACATGTTATCTATCACATCGGAGTGTCAGCATCTCAATATCTAGCCCTCACCATCATCCCTCTCACGTTCAACTGCCAGGAACACGTCGATAACCTCGTGTCTCCTATCATTCAACATCACCTGTGTCTTCCCCTTAAACTCCGAACCCATGAACCCCGATTCCCGAACCTCGAACCCAAACCCTGAACTCTGAACCCCGAACTCCTGAACCTTGAACCCTGAACACCGATCTCCGATTATCTTGGTGTGATAATAAGCCATATGTTTTTTGTCTGTTTATTTATTTTCATCATTCATTTACCTCTCTCTCTCTCTCTCTCTCTCTCTCTCTCTCTCTCTCTCCTGTATGAAAATCACATCTTTTATCCGGCCTTAAGTAGAAATTATCTCCCTTTGTCTCCCTTAATTACGAATCAACCATTTTTTTTTACTATTCTATTCCCTAATTTCTTCTTCATCATTGAGAGTGGCAGAGGAAACTGGCAGAAAGGGGTGGCAGGAGAGGAGACTGGCAGAAAGGGGTGGCAGGAGAGGAGACTGGCAGAAAGGGGTGGCAGGAGAGAAGTAACAGAGAGGAGTGGCAGAGGAGTGACAGAAGGGAGTATCAAAAAGGAGTGTCGGAAAGGGGTGCCGAGAGAGGAGTGGCAGGTATGAGTGGCAGATATGAGTGACAAATATAAGTGGCAGATATGAGTGACAGATATGAGTGGTAACAGCCCAAAGGTTACCAGTTTGTGTTACAAGGGAAGTTATTGGTCGTGTTAACTCTATTATCACCTGGATGTAATGTTGTATAACACGAAGCGCTGTAACATAACACTGTAACATGTAACCTTATAACACACTACCCTGTAACATGCTCCACTGTAACACACTACAATAAAACAACACTTACTGAAAATACTAACATACAACACTGTAACACACTACACTGTAACACACAACACTGTAACACACTACACTGTAACACACAACACTGTAGCACACTACACTGTAACACACAACACTGTAGCACAATACTGTAACACGTAATATAGCAACACACAACACTATAACAAAATACACTATAACACTTTCCACTATAACACTATCCACTATAACACTATCCACTATAACACTATCAACCATAACACTATCCACTATAACACTATCCACTATAACACTATCCACTACAACACTATCCACTATAACACTATCCACTATAACGCTATCCACTATATCACTATCCACTATAACACTATCCACTATATCACTATCCACTATAACACTATCCACTATAACACTATCCACTATAACACTATCCACTATAACACTATCCACTATAACACTATCCACTATAACACTATCCACTATAACACTATCCACTATAACACTATCCACTATAACACACCAACATTATACATAACTATCTACATCTATCCACTATAACACTATCCACTATAACACTATCCACTATAACACTATCCACTATAACACTATCCACTAACACTATCCAATAACACATCACTATAACACTATCCACTATAACACTATCCATTATAACACCATCCATTATAATAATCCACTATATCCACTATAACACTATCCCACTATAACACTATCCACTATAACACTCATCCACTTAACACCATACTATATTATAACACTATCCACTATAACACTATCCACTATAACACTATCCACTATAACACTATCCAACTATAACACTATCCACTATAACACTATCCACTATAACATTATCCACTATAACACTATCCACTATAACACTATCCACTATAACACTATCCACTATAACACTATCCACTATATCACTATCCACTATAACACTATCCACTATAACACTATCCACTATAACACTATCCACTATAACACTATCCACTATAACACTATCCACTCTAACACTATCCACTCTAACACAAAACACTGTAACTTTCTTTTCTGGCGAATATATATATATATTTTCCTCGGGAGTGGCTGTCAATATACTACGCGAGTTGTCTGTCTGTCACCAACAACAACAAACACAGCCACCCTCTCTCCTTCACCAACAACAACAACAAACACAGCCACCCTCTCTCCCTCACCAACAACAACAAACACAGCCACCCTCTCTCCCTCACCAACAACAACAACAAACACAGCCACCCTCTCTCCCTCACCAACAACAACAAAGACAGCCACCCTCTCTCCCTCGCCAACAATACAACAACAAACACAGGATCACCAACATCGCCGGGAAGGTCGGACAAGTTTTCCTCGCAGTCAAACGTCCATCAATCTCAACTATGATTGTTTCTGTTTTTTCCCCTGAGTGAAGTTTTCGACAGACGGCTGCCAGGATGACCCTCCTCTCTTTCACCACTGTTCAGGACTTGTAGTAATATACCTGTGGACTGATTCGTTATCTGGAGGTTTAATATCTAAAGTAACTTCTTGCTCCCCCTACCTCCTCTCCCCTACCCCCAGGCGATGGATGAGACGACGGGCTCACAGAGGACTGCCACGACCCACTATGGTGCCTATGATATAAATCTGTGAGCTGGAGTCACACCCAGAGGAAACGTATAAGATCTTCAGTGTCTGTTGAGGATGAAAAGCTAGACAACATATTATGGTGTTCCTTGAAGGCGTCATATACGATATTTTCACCCACATCTCAATGCAGTGGAGCTCCGTCTCTTTGAGTATCGTGGTTGTAAATGATCCAACTCCTTATCTCACGCTAATTTATCTTATCTCAACCCTTAAGAAGCTTTGACGTAAAGTATCCCCCTCATTAGTTACTGTATAATTCGTCCATTTAATGAATTACTGGAACTCCTTCATGACCACAATCATCATTCTACATCATGACAGAGTTCTATATACACTGATGACCTTCCACCATTATCCACTTTATGAGAGAATATATCTGTTGCCAGAGAAACTTTTCAATCAACAAAAACCGATAAAATTATTATTATTATTATTATTTATTTTTTTTAATTATTATGATTATGATTATTATTATTATTATTATTATTATTATTATTATTATTATTATTATTATTATTATTATTATTATTATTATTATTATTATTAGTAGTAGTAGTAGTAGTAGTAGTAGTAGTAGTAGTAGTAGTAGTAGTAGTAGTAGTAGTATTGTTATTGTTATTATTGTTAGTATTTGTATTGCTGTGAAATACGTTTGGAGGGCCATGGTCACCAACCCTCAGGCAGAGTGCCTGAATAATTGATGCTATTCTTAAGAACAAATAAACCAATTACATCTAATTTGGCTCACGATCTGAACTGTTTTTCATTAGATTAAAAATTTTCATTTAACGCCAGTATAAACTGCCGATCAACTTTTTCCATGTTTCTGACTGTGATGTGTGACGAATGGCAAAAGTTCCCTCAGTCTCAGTGATAAAGAGAATATAAACCCTGGAATGAATCTACCGTCAACACCAAGTTCTTCTGATGGTCTACAGCTGGACCATCGCTTCCCAAGCTGTTGTTGTTGTTTATTTTTCATATAAAAGCGCGCTACTGTAGGAAGAAGGCTGGCGAACAGCCATCTTGTGTGGTGAACGCCAGGCGGTGTTCATTTCTCGTTCTGGCTCTGTGTTTTACGGTATAATCTTTCGCCTCGAATTTTATCTCAATGCCACTGTACGCTGTCAACAACGCTTGGGTGTTTCGCTCTTACACGCCACACAATTCTGGCGAGTCACCGCCCGACATAAGTTCGCCAGACTTCATTTAACACTCATGTAGACAAGCAAAAGGCATGAAATTGCTCGTTTACACTCTCCTCTCGTGGTGGGCTAGGGGCAGGTTCCCTCGAGCTGTGCATCTTTACTGCGGGGATAACACCCTTGTCTGTGTGTGTGATTTACATTCTGTCTGTGTGTAATGTACCCCGACTGTCTCGTTCAGCTCTGTCTGTGTGCTGAGAGTTTGCGTAAAGTCACTTTATATTCTATAAGGTCGTGGTTGGTTGTCTTTGTATTTTATTCTGAACTATAAATCTGAACCATGACTGAGTCCCTTTGTCTGTGTGCCAGGAATAACGCTCGTTGTGTCTGTACAATATACCAAGTGAGTCTCTGGAATATAACAAACAACTTCACCTGAGTCTGTTAGGATATGTTCTGGGACGTTTTAAATGTCTGTCATACAAGACTTCAATCATTTGTATGTGACTGAATATTTCTTGTTGCGTTAGTTGTATCTTTGGGATATATCTCTTAACGTTGTTGGTACCTGTTGACTATATCTCATGTGACCAAAATTCCTTGTTTACACATACCAAGTTACAAGGAGAAACCCACCACTTCCTGATCATTAAGATAACTCTCCCATCCCCATGAACACACAAGACTCGGTTAACTGGTTCACGTAACCCACTACCCAAAAGCAGTGACGAAAATAACGAGGTAATTGCACAAAGACCTTCCTGGACTAAGATGCCTTGCCTTCTCTTTTTTCCCAGTGTAAATAAACCAAATTCTTATTTCCAAAACTCAAGACACAAAGTTGCAATGTTCGCCTCGTAAACATATTGTTGGGTTGTGATGGCCTAACTGACCAAAAAGTTATATATGTACACAGATGTTCACTGAAAAATATTGAACACGGTATATCATTAGATGTTTATGGGTAACTATCCATGACAACCTCCTCCGGCATCATTCACTCATGACTACTGAGATTTAATGTCCAGTTCTATTGAAATTGATAGCATGAGGAGGTTGGGGGGATTATTAAGACCCCCCTAACATCTTGACACACTGTAATAGCTTCACTAACACAGCAACATATTTATCAACACAGCATCATCTTCATTAACACAGGTCGGGTATGTAGCGTGGTAAGTATGTGGGCGTGGTAGGTATGTGGGCGTGGCAGGTATGTGGGCGTGGCAGGTGTAAGGGCGTGACGGGTGTGAAGGCGTGGAAGGGGTAAGGGAGGAAGGGTATGGAGAGTGTAATTATTACATTTTTAGCAGCAAAAATATTCCAATCTGATCATCGGACAGGAGGAATGACGCAGACATAGAGAATTTATTTACAAGTAAGAGAAAGAGCAACAAATAATCTAATAAATAAGAGAGAAAAGAACAGAGAAACTAAATGGACGGATGAGACAGAAAGACAGAGCGTAATAGACATGAAAAATTATAGAAAAAGGAAAAGAGAGAGAGTAGTAAGTGGAGGAAGAATGGCCGTGAGAGAGAGAGAGGGAGATAAAAATGGGAAATGAGTGAGTGTTTCATT